TGGGGCTTTTCCCACAAGTCCGACACTAGCCTTTTCGAAATGCCTTGGCCAAGACGTGCAAGGCAACAGCCAAACACAAGGCTCTCCGGACTAAGGCACTTCGGACCAGCCTTCGGGCCGGCTCATGAAGCCGAAGGCTAGCGGAAGGCGAAGGTCTTGGGGCGGTTGCCGAGAGATGTGCCTTCTCAGCTCCCTGGCCTCATGGCCGACGACTTAGTGCCAGCGGGCCCGGAGCGAGCCCAGAGAGCCATTCCGATTTACGGAACGTGCCTGTCAGGAAGAGTCGACCGCTCTCACATCGCACCAAGCGCGGTCGCTTTCGACAGGCCCTCGGTTCTCCGCATTCCGAGTGCCTTGGCAGAAATCACCCTAGCCTGTAGTTTGAAGCGAGCTGGGGTACGGCCAACGTAGAAGCAAGCACAGCAACTGCACTTCCCGGTAGGTCTATTCCTAGTTTGGTGACCTACAAACATGAATCAGCCATCAGATTGACGAAGAATAATAAGTTACACCAGAAGCTACCGATCGCGCGGGACTCTGTGGAACAGACCGTGCAGACTTGGCGCAGGGGAAAAAACACCGCGTCTCTTTGAGGTCCTGCGGAACAAACACTTCAGAGGACGAACAGATCCTGGCTCGTCAAGACATCAGTCTGAGTCTCTGGCTCTTCTTATAGAAGGACTCCGTTTTGAGGGTCTACACCTCAGGAATCTGCAGAATCCCATCACGTTGGCGCGCATACAAGTGGACCTCTGTGTTGAGCAGCTGCCTTTTCGGTTGGTTGTTTCTCTGAAAAGGACGAGTCTGACTTGTCAACCAAATGCCTCACGGCTTCGTCCTCGACCTGGCATGCGCAAAAGGTCCAAGGCTGTGTGCCTGACACTCGAACTTCGCGACTGGACACCAGGGGCTTGCATTGTGTGGAGCAGCCAAGAGGGAAAAAACGAGGAGAAGTTGTGTCAAGCAACGGTCAACCAGCAGTCAGGGAGCACACAGAGGCCGTCTCAGGCCCATGAGCGTTTTCGGTGAAACGAGTGACACAGCCTGAGACCAGGCCTGCTGTAAGGCGGCGCCTGCATGGCCAGAAGACCAGAGGAATCGAAGAGCGCCGGCCAGCAGCTTGCATGCAGCACACCCTCGCATTAGTCGAAAACGCCGCCATGTCAAAAAGTCCGGTCATCGACCCAATGTGACAGAAATCGATTCGACCAGGCTGAGCTTTCGAGTACGAGTTTCCAGACTTACTTGGTGGACTTGCGCTGACCAGCCGCTCTCCGAAGCGAGCGCGGAAGAGCTCCGACTAGCTTCTCCTTTCGCTTGTGATTGCACTTGCATGCCGACTAGCCAGGCTTGACGCTCAAGGAAACAAGCCTTGGAATGCTTGGTGGTGTGATGGTCTGTAATGCTCACAAGGGCCTTGAAACCATCAGGCAACTCCCGGGAACCATCAGAACAGTCTCGGGAAGCATCTTCAGAAAAAGCCTTGAACAGTCGGGAACGGTTCCGAACAGCTGGATCTGTTCCGAAACGCTCTGCCATTGGAGGATCAAATGAGTCCTACTATTAGTGTGGTGCTTCCTGAAACTACTGCAGCGAGAACACAGACACTGTGGTATGGCTACTCTAAAACAGGCTGTCATGGAAGACATTGCTTGAATGTCGTCGCAGCAAGAAAGTACGGCTTCCTGCATTGCTACTGTATGCTTGAGTACAGCGTGCTTTTGCAGCGCTAAAGTCAGGACACAGTGTCACAGCAAAAGATAAGCCTTGACAGCGCTTCCTGTTAGGTGCTTCACAGGGTTCTTCACAAGATCCGGCGCATCTCCCGGAAGAGAGCTTTGGTGTGTCGAGGACAAGGGAAAGAACGCGTTGCAACACGAAGGATGGGCTTGTGGGTACTGCAAGTACAGCTCGGCAGAGAAAAGCGATTGGACAGGTCACGCCTCCCCCGCGCGAATACTAACGCACAAGTGGGAACAGCGTGAGCACAACCCCTGGAGCCGCAGGCTACGAGCAGCGCATGCAGCGCAGTGCGCGACGCCGCGGAGAGAAGGAGGAGGACGACATCGCTTGACACGCCCAAGCAGAGGCACGGAGGATGACGAGGGGCGCCTGAGGGCTTCACAGACCCAAGTGGAGGCCGAGACTAGCCCAAGGCGTAGAGTCGGAAAAAAGCCAAGGCTCCACTCAAGGTACACGGAGTCATCCAAAGCCTTGAAAGTGGGCCTTGGCCCAGGCCCAGTGGGCCTCACTTTCTGGCCCAGGCCTTTGAGGCTACCGCTCCACGCAGAGGGGCTAGGGTTTAGGGTTGAGGGTTTATCACACTCGGACGAAGCTCTGATGGTGTCTGCCTCCGACCAGCACATAACCAGAAACTACTCGAAAGGAGTGGCAGCTTTAAGCTGTAGACGTTGGTAAACGCCTACGCCATGCGCAGCGTGCAGAGCCCCAGCAGCTCATGCAGCCGTCCTTGACATGGAGCGCCAAAGGCCGACAAATGGAGCCCAGTTCTCAGGTCTCTACTCCCGTCAGTCCCGAGACACTTGGCACTTCCGAACCGAAGTCCCGAGGGCAACGCGCTGCGGCACGATGGGAAACTGGCATATGGACCAGAATAATCAAAACACAAGGACAGTAAGGACGGTGCCAGAATGCACGCTAGCTGAGCTTGAAAGCTTCTAAGGGTACTTGCGCGGAGCATCCCGCGGTTGACCGCCAGTGCGAGCCGCCACGGCTTCTCACTGAATCGGCAGTTGCCAGACAGCCTGCAGAACGCAATGTTTCCTGAGAGCGGCGGGGGTGTACATCTGTGTGTCAGAGCACGTGCGACTGCAAAAGCTAGTCTGCCGAGACGTCCTTTCTGTGTATTCCCAGTGGAAGCCTTCCCCAATTTGTGCATCTTCGCTCCTCTGCCCCATGAGACAGTGCTAGTCAACTGCTAGTCCACCGAGCCGTCGTAACATGCTGCTGGCGTGATAGGTGCCGCTGCCGCCGAGCACAGGATTTTACATGATGCCCGTCTCTTGACGCAGCATCGGCTCAGCTGGAACCCTCGCTTAAGCAAACATGCGTACCTCTGTGAAACTGTCTCGTCGAGAACAGAACTGGGGTACGAGTTCAGAACGTCAGATTGTAATTGCGCTTTTCCATTGAAAGCACGGATCTGCTGCTAGTTTACGCAAAAGGTGGCACTGCTCTGCTACGGTCCTCATAGCTTCGTGGAAGTGCTAGATGCTAAATAGTTCACCATGTAATTGGAGCTCTTTCCAAAATGACGTCTTTGATCAGACAGTTGTCTTCAAGGTGTTGCCCTCAACTTCGAAAAAGCGTCCTTGCCACGCATCAGAATTCGCACTTCCCAAGTGGCTCTTGTGTTTGGCGCTGCTGAGTATTTGGTGGCTGTTGGTGGCGACAATTCCCGGGGGTGCCTGGCAGTACACTGCAGGCACGTCGCAACCTCCTTTCCTCCGCTCGATGGCTCTGGGAACTCAGCGAAAGCTTTCGAGGCCAGAAGACTGCATCTTCTGAGCCGCATCGTGCGTGAGCGTGTGCATCCACGGGAACAAACACATCTAGCACGTCACGCTTTGCATTGGAACTGCGATAGTTGGTGCCGCCGCGCGCATGTACTTGATTTTGATTCTACTGACGGCTTCTGACGGCTTCGTGTCATGGCCACTTTGGGTTGTCATCTGCTGCCTCTGATGTATGAGATCGGCGAAACAAACAAAGCTGTGCTTTGATAAGCAACTGACGCATGCCTCGATAAGCTCCATGACAGGTGCCTCCCGTATTTTACAGCAAAGACTATCGGCAACCCTGCCCGGAGGCACTAGCCTATCGGCAACCCTGCCCGGAGGCACTAGCGAAGGCTTCCTGGAACAAACTCTACGCCTGGACAGTGCACCCTTGTTGGCGCCGAGGCGTGTGCCTGCACGGTTGCTGGAGCAGCCTGTGGACGCAGAGCCCCGGCAAGTGCCCCACGATGAAGGAGTGGAGATGGCTTATTCGACCAAGCCCAGCTGACCACAGGCACCTTTTGCACAATGCCAGACTGTCTTTTCTGGCAGTGTGTTTGAACACCGCCAAGGTGACACACAGTGATGGCACCCTTTGCACAAAGGCTGCCCGATTCGGGGAGTTATCCTTGAAACGGCCCTAGCACTGGACCCGTCTGGCTGCCGATTGAAATGGACCGGACTTTGTGGAAAGCTCGAAGGCGTGTCGTCACTTCTTCCTTCCCTCGCTCTGCATGACGAAGCTTTCTCCCTTCTCCGGAAGCACCTTTTCGCAAAGCGCAGACACAGACACTGAGCAGACAAGTGCTTCTTGCATTTCCAAGCCCAAGGTGTCCCGCCAGCGACGTGTAATAAGGCATCTGGCAACAGCAGCATTCGCGGAAGTGCATGACCACTGAAATGGGACGGCAGGATGGGAAAGATGGGAAAGAGCTAAAGCGATCCAAAGATCGATCCTGCCAACACCTGCTATCGTGCAAGGCGAGAGCGAGTCAGAAGTACCGGCTTACTTTCACCGAACGGCCGTGTGAAGAGCCGCTGCGACATGCACTTCGGGGAGTTGTCTGAAATTCGGTAGATTTGCAGGTCAAGTGGTCGAGGCCTTCGGAAATTTCAGGCCTAAGCTAACTCACGGAATCGGAGCTGACCATTTGCCCGGAGAGGTGTCTGAATGTGATGCCTAATGTCAGGCTGAGTCGGTGACGTGCTTCGTCAAGGTGCAGAAGAGCTCCAGTTTGAGAGCCCTCGTAGAACCGCAGATTGCAAAGAGAGCATAGACCCGGAGGAGAGGCTCCGGCAAAAAGGCGCCTGAGGCAGCGACTTTTCAAGTGCTTTGGTCAGGAAGGGCAGGTCAGCCGTTGCGCAGCCGCAGGAAGAGGGGCGGAGGCCCTTCAGCGAGGAGAGCTGTCAGCAGTCCCCTCCGCCTCGGCGGAGGGCTGCCAGAATCACGCGGAGCTCATCAGCACGCGCAGCTGCTGGGAATCAAGGTGGGTAGCCAGTCGCCACAGAAAACAGCGCATTGTGTGGCGCCCACGTCTTGCGCTTGGTACTCTTGCGGTCCTGGCCCTCAGGGAGAACGAAGACGAAGCAACCATGCCCAGGACGGAAGAGAGGCTTGAAGCCGAGGTTTCTGGCAGAAACACTCTCTGGTGACCGACTTTGACCGGGGCCAAGCGAATCAGCTGTCGCCATCAACAAAATGTCAGAGCAGCACAGCTGGCAAGATGCATAATTTCGATTGAACCGTTCATGCTCAATTCGTTGAGAACAGTTGCATCCTCGACCGGCTAGGGCAGCCTGGATGCGAGGATTGCGGGCCATGGAGCTTTCTACGCTCTGGACAGCCGTCTCATGGGCGAAAGACCGCATCAGAGCGTTTGCCGCGCCGACGCCATCGGCTCAGCACTGGCGAGAGAAAAAGGGGGCTGGCAGGGCCTAGCAGAAAGCACTGTGACCCCAGAAAGGAGAGCCGGAACAAGACGAGTGCCGTAGTCACCGTCGCACACGAAGGAGAGAAACACCTGTCTGCAGGGTCTGAAGGCCTACTGTAACGGCGGGGGGAGCATGCCGCAGCAGGCGCCCGTTGAAGCTCGGAGTCGACGTCAAAGGGAGGATCGCCTAACTGTGAACTCAGGCCCGCTGAGGTTGCGTCCGGAGCTGTCCTTTCTGGGTCCTTGCCCTCAGTATATGAGCGGACTGAAAAAGAAGCTTCATCGGATGCCCTCGTTCTGGAGTGGCGCGCAAGGCCTGGCATGGCCGAGTATATCCGGACCAAGAGTAGTCGGAGGTGTATCCGAATAGATCACAGCAACTCAAGCATTCCCAGTCGGTGTCCCAAGTCCATGAACAGGTATTGGGCCAAACGTTGCACATCCAGATCGACCTGGACAAGCTTTGTGACCTGCCACTTCTCACATGGCTCGAGTAGTGCAGCCGCCAGAGCAACCCGAGACTTGGCAATGCATTCATCTGACACCCTTCAAAGGGCATGGCTCTTATGAATCTACTCCAAAAGTAAGAAGCAAAGAGGCCACCGTTGGTCGCGCCTCACGCGACGACAGACATGGAGGCTTAGTGTCCAGCCTGCTTTCCAAGCATCCTGCCACGGACTTTCAAGAGGTATTTCCAGGATTGTCGAGATTGGGCCGCGTGATTTTGCGGTGCCAGCGACCGGTCGCCTGGCACAAGCGTCTGGCACCGCTAGCATGTGAGGGCGTCAAGTTATCGTCGCGGCCGGCGAAAGGCCACGAGGCCGCAGCTCTGCGCATCCCGACTAGGCAAGCTTGACAGTTGCAGCTGTAGGCAGCATCAACCAACCTTGATCAATGAAACAGGCCTTGGAATCCATCAGGCAACTCAAGCATCAGAGCAATCTCCGGAAGCAGTTTCAGAAAAAGCTTCATTGCAAACCGTTGGATCTGCTCCGAAACGCCTTGGCACGTGTCCACAGCTTAGTCTGACAGTTCCTGACCCCACTGCAGCGAGAACAAAGACACTGTTAACAAACAAACCACCGGCTACTCTAAAACGCGCAAGTCAGCTTTCGCTGGCACGAAAGACATTGCTTAAATGCCGTCGCAGCAAGACAGTACGGCTTCCTGCGTTGCTGCTGCATGCTTGAGTACAGCCTGCTGTTGCAGCGCTGATGCCACACACCATTTTACAGGAAAAGATAAGCCTTGCCAACGCTTCATGTAGATAAGGTGCTTCACAAGATCCGGGACATCTCCCGGAACAGAGCTTTAGTATGCCGAGGACAAGAGAGAAAGCGTGTTGCAACAGGAGGGAGGGGCTTGTGGGTACCGCAAGTACAGCTCGGCAGAAGAACAGAGACCGCACAGTTCCACCCATGTGTAGAATCCATGTAGTCGCATTGCTGATGTGCCATGAAGGCGTCTTTGCAACTCACACGAAATTCTGACTTTAATGTGACATTCTGGCATATGACTCAGATGTCGCAAACTCGCCTTGAGGCAGAAATCCGAGCTGGTGAACATTGCAGGACAGTTCACAACGACATGTTATCATGTTTCACGTCGAGGCGGAGTCCTGTCAGAGGGGTCACCTGCATGAAGCGTCGGCCTTAAATGCAGTATCACGGACTGGCAGGCAAGCCACTCCCACATTGCATGCCTCTGCTGCAACGACAAAGGCCGGATGTCGCAGGAATCTCAAGTCAGCCATTCAGCCCGAAACGTTTTTGCGAATGACTACTTCGTCAAGTTGCCTTTGCTATCGGAATTGGAACAGCCTCAAGCTGACAGGCGCGCTTGCTTTCGCGGCCTAGCCGAACAAGTCGGTACACTTCGCTGGTCGGCCTGTCTGATCCTGCAGCGATGCTCGCCTCAAGAGTGGCTTTTGCTTTCAAAACTGGCCCCCAAAGTCTTTGGCACTGCGCCAGTGCAGGGCGAGAGTAATCGCACGCAGTCCGTTCTCCAGCGCGCATCGTCTGATTCTACAGTAGGCACGCCCTGGGCCCTGGGCTGCCTTCGACGCCGCCGGCGCCGGGTCAAGGTTTGCCAGTCTCGTACCTCAAGGCTTGAAGCTGGATCCTGGACGAGGCTGTTCGACGTAGGATGCATGCGATTGGCGGAACTGTGCGACGAGCGAAGTCAGGGTGAAAAGTCAAAAGCTGGAAGCAGGACGAGCAGAACAACGTCAGCCTGTTAATGCGCAGCAGGATCCAACTCCGCTCCAGTCGTGTCACTTGCATCGGCTCTGCCCTCTGTGAAAGCGCGTGTGCCCCGGATTTTACATTTCGCAAACCGCTTCGTTTCAGTTCTGGACTATGTTCCACAGCCCGATTAATGGCCGAGGCTCGCCGCGCCAGCTTAGCAGAGGCAGCCGGGGAGACCGAAGGCGCCGTAGGCCGTTGGTTGTGTGACATTGGCGCGGACATGGAGATGATGCGACCTCCATGCCCCAAAGGGCACTCTGCAAATCGAGATAGTGGCCTGGTTATTGCAATACAAGACGCACTGAACCGGCGTCTCAAGCAACGGTGCAAACAAAGGCTTCTGTGCTTCTAGGTCCGACAAAACATGCGCTAGCCCAACCAACTGACGTTCCGCAGTGCTTTGGGTCATGAAGGGTTGGCGTTGCGAACATCACCTCATCAATGCCCAGAGTCATCGAGCACTGGTGGCTACGTTCACCCTGGGCTGCAAAGCTGGCGTCACTGATACTCTCCGCAACCTCCAAAACTCGACGAACATAAACCCGTTCAAGCCCCTCATCCCCAGGTGGCGGCCCGAACGAAAGCCCAGTGCCCGAGTATTTGCGGAGGTACCGCCAATACGGCATAGCAGTCTGGACGCGTCTCCTACGTCGTGAGCCACAAATGCTCACCAGCAGCTGGCACTCTCGAACTTTAGGGCTTTAGGAGGTGAGCCGAAGTTGCGACAATGCCCCATGACGGTCACGTCGGCGTGCATCTCGGGGTCAGATGAGCAGTGGTCAAAAAACTCCCACCATCGGAGCTTCGGGAATTGGGCTTCAGACTTCCTGTTTTGGGACTTAGGGCTTGGGTTAGGCTCTAGGGATCTCCGCCGTGCTTAGCAAGGGGGACAGATGCAGTATACAGTTTCCACTCCCCCACAGACAGGGCGGCGCGAAGTTTAGAATCCCACGTTTGAACCCGCCTTCTGCAGCTACTTCATGCACCAAAGGCGTGCTCAGTAGGACAAAACGGTAGCTCGAGACGGTTCAACGATTTGCCCTCAGGCATGATGTCACTGCAATGAGGCTCATGATGGCGCAGCGCGACGACTTGCTCCACAGGCCGCACGGAGGCTGGAGTCACACGCATTGTGCGGACCTTCTTCTACCAGCTGACCCCACAGGCACGTCAGAGTTCCAAGGACGTCGGTGGAACTGCTTGTCGCGAAGCAGGCTGCGTATGCTCTTACAGGGGCTGTTTGGCCAAGAAGGTCTCCTTAACACTCACACCGCTTTAATGTTCCTTCCAAGGACACCGTCCCTCCTCCCCAACCCAAGGAAACAAGCAACGAAAGCTGGAGCAGCTTAAGGTTCTCCCGGTAGCTGCCTATTCTACATTCTACGTTTACCAAGCACGGGGGGCTCATGCTACCCTGCAGGCAGATCGAGCAAGACCTTGTGTCCTGTTGCGGACATCATGGAACAAAACGCAACTGATCCATACCAAACAGCTTGGGAGACATCCGACATCATGGTTGCTTACTTCCACTCCTGGTGCCCCAGGTTTCAACTTTGTCCACCGGGCAGGTCTCGCAGTGGCTGCAGGTGGACTAGTATGCAGTCACAGAACGGTTCACCGCAATCACTACTCCACATTGCCTGAAAAGCGAACTGAGCTCTGGGAATTTGCCGCGTTGCTACGTGCCTGCTCCCGGGACACGAGAAAGAAATCTTCTATATCTCTTTACACGCACTTGCTACCAGCTACTAGCCGCCCAGCGCTTTCAGAGCTGTCGATTCGATGCCAGCTCAGCTCCAAGCTCGCAGAAACAGCCATGGAGTTCTTGCCGCTTTAGCCACAAGGCTGCAGCTTCGCAGAGCGCAGGGCACAGGCACATCCCGCAGCTCAAACGCCGCTCAACGGCAAGAGCCGGTGCTCGTGTGACTTTGGCAGAAAGAGCTGTCACCGCAAAGTTGAACATTGGAATCGTTGAAGCCTCCTTGCACTTGTCTTCATGTGGGTAACTCTCTAAATTAGGCTCCCTGTACATCAACGGGCTGGTTCAACAAACCTGTGAGACAGAGCATCTAAAGCTCAAGCCATAAGAGTCGCTACTGGCCTGAAACGATAGCGGCTGCTGTCAGGATACTGTCCACCAGTTCCACATGCACAGGGCACTCAGCCAGGCGGCTACCAGTTGGAGGCAAGCTGGACTTTGCAAAACCAAGCTGCAGAGCAAGCTTTATTGCAAACCTTAGTCAAGGGTCCTACGAGTTTTCGACACATGCAGGACTGCGCTTGAAGCAAAGCTCCCGATGCCCTTGTTGCATAGGGCTCCACAGCTTAGCACGCGACCAAAATGACGCATATCTCGTATGACAACTCTCCCATGGCACTCCCCCTTAAGCACCAGTAAGTCGAGTGGCCTGAGGTGTCATCAACCTGGGACAATGCATGGTCTGCAGCCTCGAGCCTCTTGTGGGAGCCGCTGCAATGCTTGGTATTCTTGATGCTTAGACCGCTTTGATAAGCTGCACTGAGTGGAGCGACCCCCTAACGCAGCCAGGAGTCCTGCGACTCTTCCACATGCTTCTGTGTCCCTGGCCTCAGCTTGACCGAAAGCACCAAGCCCACAGGACATCTTGCAGTGTAGCAGTGTCTTTGGCCCTGGCACCGGACACCAGGCTAGGGTGCCATACAAGTTGACGTC